AAAAAAAAAGGCGAGTGTTCGCTGAAGATGAAAGTATATTGGCAGTTATCTCATATACATCATGTCTGCAGGAGATGGTTCACCTGACTCACTCCTCACGTCACTGGAAGCTGCGGTGTATCAATGACTCCAGTGACTACGAAAACACGCCGCCGAACACTCAGAACAATAGCATCACTGTACCAAGGACGGCTCCGGCTGCATTCGTGACAAGATCGCGAATGACGACCTCGCTTCCCCCGGAGCATCGACTCCTCCCTGGCTTTTCCTTTCGAAATCAAAAGTACAACCTGGTAGGGTTATCGAGAGATGTGCAGTGCCCGGCGCCACCCATGGACGCAAAGACTACTCCGGCGCTCACCGATTGCATTGCCGGTACGATGCCCAGTCAGCCCCACCACTTCCTCGCCTGTACTCCTCGAGACGCCACTGCGATCACCTGTATGCATGAGAACAAGTGCGACACGTTGGCACAACCACCACTGTGGGACGCAGCACCGTCGCCAAGCTGCTGTACCGTCCTCTCGCATGCATCGGAAGGACCAACAGCGTGGCCGTCCTGTGGTCAGCCCGTAGGGCTCCATGCACTTGAGTATTCTTCCAAGCCACCGTCGAATGCCTGGCATACGTCTGATGGGATTGTCCCTGCTCGGCGGTCGAGCCGTGTTGCTCACCTTCGCGAGCAGTTCAAACCAATGGCCACGGCGTTTCAAAATGTGCCGTACGTCGGATGATGCGACTGCTCGTCGCCGTGCCGCGTTGGCTTCTGCCGCAACTCCTCGATGAACCTGTTCTGCAATGTGAACTGCTGTCCATTCGACGGCAAGTACTGGAAAGGGTTAGTCGAGACTGACAAGTGCACTTGGGTCGCAATGTACGCACCTTGGAGCTGGGCGCAGTTGTCGCCGAGGACATCGATGCTGGCGTATTGCTTGGTTGGTACCTAGGTGAAATGGAGCATATGATCGCCACGCAACACCGGCTACCACCTCGCGATGAGGCAGTATCCTGGGATGTCAACGCTCCCCATCCTGCGGCGATCAACGCGGAATGTATGGGAGGCCTGATGACGTTCGTAAACTACTCGTGCAAGTCCAAGGACGAGTTCGTGGAGGTCGTCAACGGACAGCGCACCATGGTTGTCGTGATGATAACGAAGGAGATCCCCCGCGGCAGGGAGGTCACCGCGGATTATGGTGTCGATCTGTGGTTCGTCTGCCGCTGCCAGCGTGACGGATGCCGCACCGTGACAGTCAAGATTAACAAGATCTGCAAGAAGTCCACGGCGCGTTGGATACCTCACTGGTTAGAAGGTGCGCGCGTGAATGTGTTGAAGCTGTTCAATTGCAGTAGCAGCTCGAAACCTAAAGCTTGTGATGAGGAAAGCTTGAAAGCTTCCCTTGGTGCTAATAGAGCTGGTTCCTGCCGAGCGAGGTCGTCCGCCTCTCTCGTTTTGCTTTGGCCGAAGCCGATATCGAGAAGATCTGGTGTTCGCCTCAACTGGATACAGTCCCAGGTAACAGGCTGTGTATTTACGTCGACCAGTGGTTCCGATATGCGCGAGATCGAGATTTTGGCTGTCGAGTAGGACTTCCTGGCAGATAGAAAATTCTAAGTGTTGGCAATTGCGGTCAAACGCCGTGCACATACGCTGCTGTGCTGAATCCATTGCATCTCCAACCTCTACAATAGTAGTTGCTGGTGCTCGGTGGATTTGGGCGCGTCCGAAGAGGCCTTGGGGTTGGTTGGCAGCGTCCGATCGAGCACCGATCGAGGGACGTAGCCGAGATCGGCCTCAAATGGAGACATGCCGATTGCAGAATAAGGTCGAGGGTTGTAGGAAAATTCGGCAAATGGGAGAAAACCATCCCAGTCGGTCTGGTGTGGTCTATTGGGTGTGACGTAGGAACTCCAAGACGAACTTGTTCGTAACTTCTGACTGACCGTCTGAAGATGACGGGAAAGCGGGACTTAGACGTAATTGAGTATCCTGAAGACGCATTACGTCAGTCCACAGTTTTGAGGTAAATTTTGCTTCTCTATCACTAAAAATCGACTGAATAAAGAAGTCCATGCTAATGTCTGTCCATCGCTTTTGCGGAATATCGAGGGGGTGCAGATGCCCGTGGTATTTGCCACGAGGTGATTTATTTTGCTGACACCGTTCACAAGATGACACATATCTTTGGATATCTCCAAACATACGAGGTCAGTAAACTTAGCTGCAACGAGTAAGCGCGTCCTGTACTGCCAGGAATGCCCTCGCGTCAACGAATCGTGCTCTTCGTAGAGAATTTGGTTACGTAGATTTGGGTCTGCTGGTACACCGCGTCGTCGAGGAGAGGTCGAATTGATTTGGACATACAGAAGACTCTCTGACAGCGTAGAACTGGACAGCCTGGCAGGAGTTGGTGCTTCCGGCTTGGTCAATGCCCCCGAGATGGGTCCGAAAAAAGGATCCGCCGCATATTTTCTCTTTCATTGAGCCGGAATGCTAGAGGACTTGGGTCGCTGGAAAAGCAGCGTGCGCGCCCCCTGCTCGGTAGTTGGCATTGTCAATGCCTGCAGAACTGCATGAAGGCTCACCGCACGCGAAATTCCGTCTGACCAGGACGGATTTCGCGAAATAGTACATTAGTTGACCCTGCCAACCATTTGAAACGGGTTGGACCATCTTTAGCCATCGTGCCAAACGCTGTGAGCAGGACTGCTGCGTCAGTAGACTCTTAATAGTGTTGTGGTCGGTATTGATAAAAAAGGGTTGATCGATGAGATAAACTTTCCATAGTCTCATGGCGTGTAGAGCTGCAAGCAATTCGTTTTCTCTTGTCGGGTAAGCAGTTTCCGCTAGAGAGAACTTGTGACGCCATATGCTCCGTGTCATCGTCTGCAAGTTGAAAAGGGTAACCACCTATAGCGAAATCACTGGTGTCCATGCTAACAAGGAACGGTCTCGAGAAGTCCGGTTCGAGAGAATGATTGGAGAGGAGGGTCTTGAGCTAGGCGCTAGACTTTCGAGAAAATCCAAGCTTAAACCATGCATATCGATGAGATGAACGCTGAGAGCTGCGAAATCGGGACAGAAGCGCAGGACATAGAGGCATGTTCCTAAATAGGATTGAAGATCCTGCTTGGTCCGAGGACTTGTCCAGCTACGGATGAGCGCTGCCTTCTCAGAATCGATACGAACGCCTCCCTGTCGATAATTTCGCCGAGGCAAGGGATCTCCGTCGCGCAAAATGTGCACTTAGACAGCTTGATAAACAGCTGCTGCTCCTTGCAACGCACAAAAACCTTCTCCAACGTTGCCAATTTATCCTTAATCGAGCCGGTTGGAGTATGAACGAAAATATCATCGAAGTAGTGACAAAAGTCCTGTTGGTCTGTGGAGATGCGCCGAACTAGGCGATTGAAGCATGAAGGATTGCTAGGTACTCCAATTGGAGTAACGAGATATTTGTAGAAGCCGTCGGGCGTTGCAAAGGCAGTGTAGGGAATGGAGGCTTCGGGCAATCGGACCTGGTAGAAGCCCAAGAGTAGGTCCATGACTGAGGGACAGAAGTCTATTTACCTGTTCCACTCGATGCCCAAGTCGTGGAAACATGATCTTCGCATCTGGAAAGGCCAGCGGAAGTATATCCCGTATGAAGACCTCAAGCAGAGCATAGAAGGCAAGGTCCGAGACCTCCAAGCTCAAGAGCGCTACACCCTGGACAAGGGCAAGCCGGAGACCTCCGCAACCAAGGGTGAGCAAGCTCTAGATGCTGCTGGACCGCCTGCGTTCATGATCGAGACAACGCTAATATTTGCTCGTACTGTGATCGCCCACGGCACAACATTCGTCAGTGTCGCGACCAGCAAAAAGATCTGCGAGATGGCCGAGTGAAGGCTGGGACAGTCCTTCCAGTCAACGTCGCCTTCAAGGGAAATTCGAAGCGCGACTATCCCTACCGTAACTCAAACAACGGGAAAAAAGGACGCAGCAACAAGGGCAACGGCAATCGCGAATCCAAGGGCAACAACGGCAACAATAAGAACAAGCAAGGGC